CACACAGCACCCCATATTGACAGAAAAACACAGAATTGTTGACATTTTTGCAGATTTATTAAAAAAGAAAAACTGAAATATCACATGGTCCTAAGTATTCAGACCCTTTGCTGTGACACTCATATATTTAACTCAGGTGCTGTCCATTTCTTCTGATCATCCTTGAGATGGTTCTACACCTTAATTTGCGTCCAGCTGTGTTTGATTATACTGATTGGACTTGATTAGGAAAGCCACACACCTGTCTATATAAGACCTTACAGTATATATATATAACACATGCAGTGGATACATTTTCACTACTTATGAGTTTTAAAAGCTTGTCTGTTAAAATCATCATGCAAGGTTCTGTTTCTTTTGTTGTCAGAGAAGTGTTGTAAGGGTTTTAGACAGGGCAGGAAGCAGGTGGTCAAAAGTCATGTGGCGTCACGCTGTATATCCCGTGCTTGCCGGCCCGAGGGTGTTATTAACATAGCCGCTTCCTGTGCATACATATAATAGTTCTATTCATTGGATCACGAGGCATCACGCGGTATTTTCAGTCCTCATACAAAAGATCTCTGTGGCATCTCTTGATTAGATTAATCCAGAACCTCATGATGAGTTGATTCAGTGGCATATCACAGTCCTGTGGTTTGTGGTATTAAGAAATCCCTACATCGTACCTTACCATATCTTTCAGTATTAGCCAGAGAACCATAGTTTCTTTAAGAGCTCGTCCATATATTCAATAGTAATAGTAGTACATTGTCAGCGGAAAAAAAACTAAATAAAACATACCATACTTTTAAAGCCTGCATATAAGTTCCAATGTGTGTAAGAAGCGCATAACTGCTGCCTTTGTAGAGCTTTCCAAATAACTCTTTTATGAGGGGTTCCAATCCATTTGATTGTGTACTCTACCACTCAGAAGTAAGCAGATTTTTATTATTAATAAGATTTGTAATATTTTATTATTATTGTTGTTGTTGTCCAGCAAAAAATATTTAAATTGATCAAAAGTGGCAGTAAGGCTTTTTATTCTATAATTGTCACAGGAATTAATCACATTTTAAACTATATATACAGTGTCCTCCACTAATACTGGCACCCTTAGTAAATTTGAGCAAAGGCAGCTGTGAAAATACATCTGCATTGTATGGGGGGGGGATCTCATTGTGAAATAAATGATTTCTCTAGTTCATGTTGGCCACAATTATTGCCACCCAATTATTACAATGTCCTTTTCCAAGATAACAGCTCTGACTCTTCTCCTATAATGTCTGAAGAGTTTGGAGAAAACCTGATTAGAGATCAGAGACAATTCCTTCATACAGTATCTCTCCAGATTCTTCAGATTCTCAGCTCCATGTTGGTGCTTCTTCTCTTCAGTTCACCCCACTAATTTTCTATAGGGTTCAGGTCAGAAGACTGGGACCACCATGGCAAAAGCTTCATTTTGTGCTCAGTGACCTGTTTTTTGTGTTGATATTGATGTTTGTTTTGGAATATTGTCCTGATTGGAAGATCTAACCATGGCCCATTATAAGATTTCTAAAAGATGCCGTCAGATTTAGATTTTTTATCTCTTGTTATTTGATAGAATCCATGCTACCATGCATCTGAACAACATGTCCAGGACTTCTGGCAGAAAAACAGGCCCACAACATTAAAGATCCAGAAGTATATTTAACCATGGACATGGGGGACATTTTATCCCTGTTTGTACTAAACCCATCTGGTGGGTTTCCTGACAAAAAGCTCGTTTTTTGTTTGTTTCATCTGACCATAGAAGCCAGTGCCATTTGAAGTTCCAGGCGTGTCTGACAACTGAATATGCAGGAGTTTGTTTTTGGATGAGCAATGAGAATTATTCTTGAAATTCTACCGAACAACATGTGGTGATGTAGGGGCTGTTTGATATTTATTTATTTGTTTGTTTGTTTGTTTTTAGGCTTTCTGACCCCAAGACTCAACTAATATCTGCAATTCTCCAGCTTTGATGCTTGAAAAGTCTTTGGTCACTCAAACTCTCCTCCTCACTGTGTTTTAGGACCATATAGACACACGTCCCCTTGCAGGCAGATTTGTAACATCTTTAGTTGATTGGAACCTCTTAATTATTGCCCTGATGGTGGAAATGTGGATTTTCAATGCTTTAACTCTTTTCTTACAGCCACTTTCTATTGTGTGAAGCTCAACAATCTTGTTCTGCACTTTAGAACTATATTATTTGGTTTTACTCATTGTGATAGATAATTAATGGAATTTGGCCTTTGTGGTCCTCATATTTATAATCCTGTAGAACTGGAAGTCATGGCTGGACAGTTTCATGCTCATCACCCTGGTGTGATAAAAAAAATTAAATATGAATGGGAATATACTTCAGAGATATTTTACTCATAAGAATTTCTAAGCTTGCCAATAATTGTGGACAACATGCATCAGAGAAAAACATTTATTTCATCATGAGATATTATCCCCACTTTCAATTGTTTTACTTCAATGAAAGGTTAGAATTTTTGTGATTTTTTTTTAATGAAAGATCAAAAATGTCAAAAATGCAGATTTATTTTTACTTTGCTCATATTTACCAAGGGTGCCAATATTAGTGGAGGGCACTGTATATAAAAGAGAAGACAGTTATTTTAAATTGCAATAACATTTAACATTTAGATTTTTGATTCAATTAATGCAGCTTTGGTAAGTATAAGAAACTTCGTCCCAAACTTTTGAAGGTAGTGGAAGCAGTGCTGCTCATATTTCACATATGCTTTTATCTCATACAATTTTGCAAATTTGCAAATTACAATTTTGAAAACAAAACAAAATTTTGAAAATACTAAGAAAATGTTTTTAACTATTGACTTTATTGTCATTGTCTTGGTGTCTACAGTAATTCAGCAATGAACATGAATGTATCACGTGAATACACAGCACAAATTAATTAAATTAACCAAATCATATTTGTCCCCCTAAATCTGAGGTGAGGTGTACCAAGCTAAAAACTGTTTATTTTATTGGAATAAAACACCAGCAGAGAGCCCTGTGTTGCCTTCTCTTGGAGACTAGGTACAAAGTCATCCACTGTTGCTATCACAACCTACATGTGGGCAACAAATCTTATACCTCCCAGAGCAACCATCAAGCCAAATGGTAGCACTCCATCATTTGGGACTGAGATAGACCCTTTTAGGAGCACTTTAGCCTCCTAGGAAGCACTGCAATTTGAGAGCATCTTCACAGGAAATTAATATTTGAGCTGTATGTACACTCATAAAGCACCCAAGCCTGTTGGTCATGGCCCTTTTGGTGTCAAAAAGTTTTTAAGGTTTCATTCAGATCATTCTTTAGACCAGGAGCACTCAAGTTCAGTGGCCAAGGGGGCCATATTTAAACCACATAATATGTTGAGTGAGTGACGTGACATGTGGCCAAGTATGGTGACCCATACTCGGAATTAGTGCTCTGCATTTAACCCATCCAAAGTGCACACACACAGCAGTGAACACACACACACCGTGAACACACACTTGGAGCAGTGGGCAGCCATTTATGCTGCGGCGCCCGGGGAGCAGTTGGGGGTTCGGTGCCTTGCTCAAGGGCACCTCAGTCGTGGTATTGAAGGAGGGAGAGAGCGCTGTACATTCCCCCCCACCTACAATCCCTGCCGAGACTCGAACCCGCAAACTTTGGGTTACGAGTCCGACTCTCTAACCATTAGGCCACAACTTCCCCAAATAATTCATCACACATACCATTACAAGGGCCACACATTACAATTTGCATTATAAAACTTTATTTAAGATAATAATTGCAGTTTACCAATATATAAATGCATTTTATTTCTTGCCCTATTTAAAATAATATTGGACATGAACATAAAACATTACAAAATCTTGGAACAAAAAGTGAATTAACAGTTTGTTTAATGCAAAAAAAATAATTCATACTCAAACAGAGTATTAAACAAACTCAACAAAACATTCTTGAGCAAATATAGCTCACAAATTTCTTTAGAGCCTATTATTTTTCCTATTCATGCCCAAACAGGACTGAGTATGCATAATTGAGCGCTAAATATATGTAATGTCTGTTTCATTCATGCTGGACACCAGAGGGCGCCCTCAGAAACTCCACATACTGTAAGCATCACAGAAGTAATAGAAAGTTTAAGGAAATCCCTAATATGGACAAATACATGCAGCTGTCACTGTAACTGAATAAAAAGAAGATAGAGATGCTTTTACCGATCAAATGTGAAGACAATAAACAAACAAATTGACAATATATGGTTTATCTGTGTTCTTCAAGCCATCTCTGGTATAGTGCAAAACTCTGTGAGCTCATTGGCGTGATGACAGCTCCATTCATTGTAATGGGCTTTAACCCATTCACAATTTGAATAAAAGTTTGTTTTTCACGCTACTAAGAGGACCATCTGCTATTTGCACAATGCAGTGTCAGGAGTATCAACTGCATTTAAATGACACAAACTTAAAATGACACTGCCTAATATTTGTGCTACTTTTGAGTGCAAATTATAATAAAAATACATTAATCTCCAGCATGACAAGGGCCACAAAATTAATGCAGACAGGTCGAATGCAGCCCGCGAGTCACCTGGTGAGTACCCCGGCTTTAGACTGTACAAGAGAAAAAATAAATTAATTTCCTGATGTATGATAATGCACTTATAATGAGCTCTAGGTGTAGTTTACAATGTATATGCTTTGTAATTGCAATTAGCATTATCATTCCAAGAAGCACCCCCACTTCTTGCCTAAGTCTGTTGATCAGAACTGAGGTTGTAACCCTTGATGTATTGGTTTCAGTTGCTTGAACAAAGCCTAGTGAAAAGGTTTTGGTGACTCAACTTTTGGCCACCTTCTCAGGGACACAGCCAGACTGTATGGATCAATACCGGAGCTTCACAGATTATGTCCATTGATTTTTGCATGCAGACTTACTGCTTCGTTCAGAGCATAACTGAGATTGTACATGTCGGAATGTGTTTGCAGGAGCTGAGGGTGCAGTGTTCAGCAACTCGGTAGAGACCCCACATGTGAGAGCTGAGCCCTTCAAAGAGTTACGGTAAGACAGTTTGAGGTATATAATGTCATTGTTAAATTCTGGATTCTAATTGAATGTTCCAAGATATTTTAATTTTCTTGAACTACATAAACTATACATTTGTTTATACCACATTGCCGGTCAATATTGTTTTTCTTTATGAATTGTTCCAAATTTTAAAATAAACTGAGCTTTAAAGAGTCATACATGTAGCCAAAGAAACAGAAAATGACAAGAAACGTCTCTAGATTATGTATGTAACCATGGTTCCCCGAGGGAACAAGACGCTGCGTTGAGATCGCTTTGGGAACACCCCTGCGTGACCGTGTTCTGAAGCACATGTCAAATCAACCCAATGGAGTAACGAGACGTCACGGGCGGGGTGACGTAAGCACCAGAAAGTATAAAAGCGCATCCGGCAGAGCGCAAACCAGCTTTGATGAAGTAGCGCCTGCAGGGATGCCGGGAGTATGGCAAAGAGACGCAGCGTCTCGTTCCCTTGGGGAACCATGGTTACATACGTAACCTAGAGACGTTGCCCTTCAGGAACTCGAGCTGCGTCAAGATCGCTTTGGGAGCGAGAATACCAACTGCGCCATACTACCAAGTCCCTGCCTGTGTGTGTATCTTACGAGCACATCACGAAGAGAGAACTTGGGAACCTGGGGTAGATGCCAGGTCTAGGTTGTAAAAGCGGCCAAAAGTGTGCGGAGAGTACCAGCCCGCCGCAGCACAAATGTCCTGCAAGGCCACACCCAAGTTGAAAGCCTTGGAGGCGCCATACTCCTGGTCGAGTGCGCTCTGACCCACATAGGAAATGGGAGGCCAGAGGATTCGTAAGCTAGTGAGATGGCCTCGACTACCCACCTACTCATGGTCTGCTTGGTTGCCAGAGATCCTTTCTTTGGCGGACCTTCCTGGTACGGAGGAGGACAGAATGCTTTAAGTACTATGGGCCCTGGTGAAGAAGTGGGCACCTTAGGGACATACCCGGCCCTCGGGTAAAGGAATGCCCTAACCATGCCTGGAGCAAATTCCAGGCATGAAACAGAAAGTGCCTGAAGATCCCCGATCCTTTTTAGTGAGGAAATAGCGAGGAGAAAGATGGTCTTGAGCGTGAGCAACTTGACTGAAAATTCTTCTATGGGTTCAAAGGGGGCATTGCATAAGCCCTTCAGAACCACAGACAGGTCCCATGAGGGCACCTTAGTGCGCTGTACCGGCCTCAGCCTCAGGGTGCCATGGAGGAAACGAGTGATAAGTGGGTGTCTTCCCAATGATTGACCACCCAGAAGGGCGTGGTAAGCAGCTAAGGCCGCCACATATACCTTCAGAGTGGAGGGAGATAACCCTGCGGAAAATCGCTCCTGCAGAAACTCCAGAACTGTACCAACTGGGCAGTTGACTGGGTCCTGCAGTTGCTGTCCGCACCATGAAGCGAAAAGTTTCCACTTCAAGGCGTACTGTTTCCTAGTGACGGGAGCTCTGGACTGGAGTATAGTCTCAACAACCTCAGTTGAGAGACCAGATGCTAGGAGCTGTGCCCCCTCAGGGGCCATGCCCACAGCTTCCATAACTCCGGGTGGGGGTGAAGAATGGCGCCCCCCGCCTGTGAGAGGAGGTCCCTCCTGATCGGAATCTCCAGCGGAGAGCCGTTGAGGAGGAACACCAAGTCCGAGAACCATACTCGGGCCGGCCAGACCGGGGCTACTAGCAACAGACGGACCCCATCTACCCCACGGTACCCTCTCCAGAACTCTCCGAAGCCTCTGCCACGTCTGCACCATGGCATAGTGGATGCTGGATGTGTGAGGGAGAACCAGAGCGGACAGTGTGTCGTTTCCTGCGACGCAAATAGATCCACTTCTGCCTGGCCAAATTCCCTCCAAATGAGCTCCACCACCTCGGGGTGGAGCCTCCATCCCCCGGGCCTCAGCCCCTGTCTCGACAGAATATCTGCCCCCTGATTTAGATACCCAGGGATGTAAACTGCTCTTAGAGAGAGGAGCTTCCCCTGAGCCCACAGAAGGATCTGGCGCGCCAGCTTTTACAAGGGGCACGAACGCAGACCCCCTGCCGATTGATGTAGGAGAACACCGATGTGTTGTCTGTGCGGACAAGCATATGATGCCCTTTTAGGTCTGGAAGGAAGTGTGTCAGAGCTCGAAACACGGCCAGCATCTCCAGGTAGTTGATCTGCCAAAAGAGATGACGGCCTTCCCACAGACCCTGGGCAGAACGACCACTCATGACCGCTCCCCAGCCTGTGAGAGAGGCATCCGTCGTTAGCGTTATGCGACGACAAGGAGCCCCCACTCATGACCGCTCCCCAGCCCGTGAGAGAGGCATCCGTCGTTAGCGTTACGCGACGACAAGGAGCCCCTAACATCGGGCCTTGAACCAGGAACCAACGTTTCTTCCACATGTCTAAGGCACGTAAGCATCACCGTGTGACCTTGATCATGCGAAGCGGATTCCACCTAGGGGAAAATCCCTTGGTTCTGAGCCACCACTGCAAGGGTCTCATGTACAGCAGGCCAAAAGGTATCACGTTGGACGCCGCTGCCATCAGGCCCAACAGCCTTTGAAACTGTTTGACAGTGAGTGACTGGCCTTCTCTTACTCTCATGACTGTCGTGAGGATTGACTCGATTCGAGCAGGAGACAGACGTGCCTGCATCGAGGTTGAGTCCCACACCACGCCTACATAAGTGGTTCTCTGTAGTGGAGAAAGAACACTCTTCTTGGCGTTTAGTCTTAACCCCAGCTTTCTCATATGGGCGAGGACGACATCTCGATGCCGAGCCGCCATCTGCTCCGATTGAGCTAGTATTAACCAATCGTCAATGTAATTGAGTATGCGGATGCCCTGGAGTCGCAGAGGAGCCAGAGCAGCATCCACACACTTCATAAAAGTGCGGGGTGAGAGTGACAGGCCGAAGAGAAGAACTTGATATTGGTATGCTTCACCCCCGAAAGCAAACCTTTGGAACTTCCAGTGCTGAGGGAGGATGGAAACATGGAAATAAGCGTCTTTGAGATCTATCGTAGCAAACAAGTCCTCGGACTTCCCGCTCAGCAGCCCCATGGGCCTGGGAGCGACGAGGGAGGAACCATTGAAACGCCGCCGCTTGCTATCTCGCCTCCTGAAATCTCTCAACGACAGTGTTGACTGCATAGACGAAAAGGCCAGAGGGCGAAAGCGGGGCATCTAGGAGGAAGAATCTGTCCTTATCTTGCATATCGGACAGATTCAACCACAGATGCCACTCCGTGGTCGCCATTGCTGCCATTGAACGGCCGATAGCTCTGGCCGTTTCTTTGGTGGCTCGGAGGGACAAATCTGTGGCCCGACGCAGTTCAGCTACCACGTCGGATTCCCCCTCCTCCCTGTCATCCAGGTGCTTGAGCAGGTCAGCATGGTGTTACAAGCACGCGCCAGCCTGACCTGCCACAGTATAAGCTTTCCCAACCAGACTAGATGTTAGCTTAACAGGCCTGGTGGGAAGCTTTGGGGCCTTCAGGGACGATGCTGAGGATGGGGAGAGATAGCTCGCGAGTGTCTGCTCCACCACTGGCATCGCCCCATATCCCTTCTCATTCAGCCCCACGATATTGGAATAATTAGA